AATAGTCGGCGAATCCAGAACGGCACAATATTATACAACGATCTGCAGGAAACTCACTACAACATCCTGTGTCCGGACACTCCCACTCGGTTGAGTCGATCCGGAGCTCATGTCACCATCGACATCTTCATCAGCAACATTGACGATAACATCTCTCAACCTATCGCCTATCAGGAACTGAGCTCGGACCACTGGCAGCAGTATCAGCGCTGTGTAGACACAGCAATCGACTACGACGTCCTACCGGAGTCGTTCGAAGAAGTCGATCAGTGTCTGCAAAGCATCGAAGAGGCGATATCCCGTGCCAGGGAGCAATACGCATCCAGCATCCAGACAGGTGAGTCATACTCTGAACCTTGACAGCCCAACCAAAGATCTTATCAGGCTCCGTAACACCATTCGTGAGCAGTTCCAGCGTTCTGGGCTGCACCACTTGAAGACCAATGTCAATAGGCTAACCAAAATTATCCAGGCCAGGATGGTGGAACTCAGAAATAACGATTTTACCAACAAGATTCGCTCTCTCCCAGATTGTGCAAAACCATTTTGGAAGATGACCAACATTTTGAAAAATAAGTCGAGACCGATCCCTCCGCTTTCCTCTGTTGACCAAAACTTGGACCCATCCCTACTCATAACCCCAGTTGAAAAGGCTTTTGGCCAACATTTTGTGATTTCACATAATCTTGCCCAAACCATGGTGAGCCGCAATGAGCCTGCCGTACTGGAGGCAATGTCTAGAGTCGCTGACACCCCCGTAGTAGTGCATGATGATAGTAGAATATCGGCTGATGAGGTGATAGCAGCTATTAGAAGCACTAAAAATATGAAGGCTGCTGGTATGGATGGTGTAGTCAACCACGAGTTGAAAAACTTGAGTATTGACTTCTTCAACCATCTTACCCTTATCTTCAACAAATGTTTGGAGCCTGGCTACTTCCCTGCATGCTGGAAGTTAGCCAAAGTGATTCCAATACACAAGCCTGACAAAGACCCTACCAGTGCCAAACGCTATCGCCCCTTGTCAGCCTCTTGTCATCCATCTCGAAGCTATTCGAAAAGTTGATACTCAGCCGTCTGCTGGTGTTTTCAAATGATAATAACATCTTTCTCAAAGAGCAATTCGGGTTTAGGAAAGGCCACTCTACCATCCACCAACTCGCACGGGTTACTATCATCATCAAGCGGAGCAAGTCCGTTTCCAATACATCTGCCATGGCATTGTTGGACGTCGAGAGTCGTTCGACAATGTCTGGCATGATGGTCTAGTGTACAAGCTGCATCGATACAACTTTCTGATCTACCTCGTGAAGATCATCAAAAACTACTTGTCGGGCAGATCATTCCAGGTCTACTTGAACAATGTCCCCTCTGATACGTTCAACGTTGATGCAGGGGTCCCTCAGGGTAGCCTGCTTGGGTCTATCCTATTCAACATTTTCACGTCAGACGTTCCTCCCCTGCCGGGTGGTGGTATCTTGCCAATGTTCGCAGATGACACCTATCTATAAGGGTCGAGTGATCCGTGTTCTGGCGAGTAAACTGTCCGACTATTTCAAGAACTGGAAGATTTGTATCAATGCAGCTAAAACACAAACCATTCTGTTTCCACACTCGAATTCACCTCGGCTTGTTCCGCCTGCTAACGTCAAGATCCATCTTGATAGTACTCCCATTGAATGGTTGAGTGAAGTAGTCTACCTTGGTCTCACCCTCGATAACAAATTGCTATTCCGATCCCATGTGCACAAGACATCCACCAAGTGTAACATCTTGATCAGGTCATTCGACCCCCTGATAAACAGGAAGTCCACCCTGTCCCTCAAAAACAAGCTTGCCGTCCACAAGCAAATAATTCTGCCGGCTATTGAGTATGGTATGCCAATCTGGGAGAGTTGTGCTAAGTGCCACCACCTAAAGCTTCAGAGGATCCAAAACAAGATCCTTAACAGTCCACCGCGAACTCGTAATCCTGAGATTCACCACCTGGCCGGTCTTTAAACACTCGAGGAACGAAAGACTTCCACGCTGGAAAGGTTCAGAGTCGCCTGTCTGCCATCAAACCACCAGATCATTCGTGATTTGGCAACCTAGTTTAAGTAGTTAGGTAGATTCCAGTGCTCAAGTAGGTACGTTATCAAATTTTTAAATTCAAACGAAAACAATCCCATAAAAGGGTATCCTGTAAATTTGCGCTAAACCGAAGACAACAAATCAAGAAGATTGGCAACTTTGCCAGAATCCAAGCGACAGATACAATGGCGCTGCGCTTGAGTGAAGGTGGAAGCAACGCATAGAAAAATGAGCAAATGATTTGTTGTCTTCGGCTAAACGCAATCATCACATTAGAATAACCAATTAACTAGAACAAAGATAAAGAGCCAAAGGCTAACCAATTGAAACCAAATGTTGAAACATTAAAAAATCAGAAAATAAACGTAAATTTTACTACTACTACCTGTCGCAGACAGGGGGCCTCCCTTAGCTCAGTCGGTAAAGGCGCAGCAAGACCATGCTGGTTCGGTCTAGGAATTTTTCGGGTTGGAAAATTTCTCGACTTCCCTGGGCATAGAAGTATGATTGGACTTGCCACACAATCATATCAATGCAAAAATGGTACAGGCATCGAAAGCTCTCAATTAATAACTGTGGAAGTGCATCTAGAACACTAAGTTGAGAGCACGCAATAAGCTAATCATGCGATATGCAATAAGCTTGAAATGCGAAGAAGAAGAAGAACCTGTCGCAGACACCAGTTCAACCCCTGTCTTGCAGCACACGCACCGAGACTCTTGCGAGTGCCCTTCAGTATTCTTCAAAAAAAAACGTCAATGAATATTGGAGAAGGGGCTCTGGTTAGCCGTACAACGCAACTTAGTCGCGATACTCTCACAAGAGCGCTGGACGGCACTGAAATCATTCTCATTTTTTATTGAACACCCGTTACAGCAAAACTATTCTACTGCTTTTCAAAATAAAAAAAATGCTTGATCTTGGTCAAATTTGCACACTTAGATTTTTTTGCCAAGATGGGCACCTCCGAGCAGCGGGCATTTTATTTTGCTGGATCCCAGTAAAAAAAAAACTTGCCGAAATTCAGCTAACAATCATACATTTTGCTGAATCTCGGCAAGTTTTTCACTGAGATCCAGCAAAATAAAATGCCAACCTGTTCGGTGGTACATTAAGTCTATTTCTTCTTCTTCTTTCCTTTATTTAACGTCGGTCTCTGTTCCGCAATCTAGTGCCAATCACCGACGGACATCCATTGACGACAATCGAATGTGCAGGAAGGCAGCTTCCACACCTGCGTAGGATATCGCACCCATTCACAACACACAAGGGCCGGGACCAATGGCTTTACTTCCCTTCCGAAGGAAGACGTGACCAGAGATTTTTATGCCTCAGAAAAATCCCACCGACCTCGGTTGGGATTGAACCCAGACCCGAGTCTATTTGATGTAAATTTAAAATAATTGATGACATTTTGCGTTCAGTTAAGCATTTGTTAGAAAATTCATTCACAAAATCATGTATTTTTTTTCAACTTTCATGTGCTATATATTTTTAAGAACTCTAAAAATAATCGCATTGATCTGAAAAAGATTGGATTGATCAATGTTCAAAATATAATACTAAAAACGTGAATTTTATTCAAATTTTATAAAACTTCGTATACCTCAGTTGTTCGCAGATGTACAGCGTTTATTTATTTGGCAACTTTTCATAAAATTCTACGTTATATAACTTTGCCCGAGACAGCAAACCTCTATCTTGCAAAATAAAAAAAGTTTGTATCGCTGCGCCATCTTTATGGCCAAAACTTGAACTATTTTTTCTACCAAATTGTATCCCAATTTAATCCAAGAAACTTCACTTCAGATGTCAACTCAATTGGATGCAATGCCAGTTCCTGCTAAATTTAATTCCTGTCCCATTGTGCACTGGCATCGACGGTAGAGAGTTAAATTTTCAAAAGGCATTCCTTTAGTGAAGTTCCAATTGATATGACTTGCTCTGACCCCGCTTCAGTCCCGTGTAACTTCTGACTGACGGCAAAACCAGTCTTAAACATTAGACTCGGTTTGATTTTCAACTCCCACGCTCATTAATGTTGTGTTGTAGTCAAAACAATCTCCATCCCGTAATTATACAACATAATAGGATGAACATCATTATTTTGGCACCGCCACGTGTGCCCTTTTCTCTAACACACGTGTCGCGCGTGGGTATTATCCTTACTAATAGCGGATCATTACCGGCCCCATAATTACACCGGCAAACTGGCGAATTTCAATGTAACGTTCCCCCAACAGCTCCTAATAGGGTAGAGAATTACTTCGGCCTAATCGCCCATTTTGGGCCTATCGAGCAGAAAATATAAAACATATCCATGATTTCGGTGTAAGCGAGTTGTGACTCCTCATCAAATCTAACGGTAAGTATGGACATTTGGAAGACATCTGTGGTAGAAACATTCCACCCGTAAAAGAGAGGCAAAGTGCGAGTTGCGCTTAGTCGACCTAAAATTAGATCTATACCCTACCTACACATTAACTAGATACTAGACTGACCTGTTGATACATGGAAAAATCACGCGGTCGAAATGCGCTTCCCAGAATCGGTAACAGAAGCTGAAGGAGTGCGGTAAACCTCTTCATTATCCTTGTTGTCAGCCCAGTTTTATCATGAATAATTTGCTCGCTTTTCCATCTACAAGCAAACAATGAGCGCGCAAGGATGCTGCTCTGATTTCGTAAATTGCTGAGAGGGGACCGGCTCTGCCGTTTGCCAGCGTTAAATGATGTTGTTTGTGAACTTTTGAGAAGGGTGCTCTTAACGACGGAATCAAGTACCTTCTCTACTCTCATCGTGAGGCATACTCAAAACCGTAACAATAGCGAGTAATTATTCGTTCAATTTTGTTGGGAAAACTCAATTTGTCACGGGATTATTTGGGAGTTCTTTTTCTGTTCTACGAGGATTGACGTCATGCCTCTACATTGCATTCGAAATGTATAATAAAAAGGATAATTTTGATTATATTATTGCATTATACACTAGAATTGTGGCATTGAAAAACTGCATTACGCTTTGTTCTATAATTAAGATCATTTGTGTGAGAGTGTCTCTGTCATGTTTTTCTACAGCTCCATGCAAGGCTGGAAAAAAAGTACAGTACAAGATTCTGGAGATAACCTGAATTAAAATTCCTACTACTTAAAAATTGCAATCAATTTTCAAAATTCCTACTAAAGTCTAGAACAAAATCTATCCAAGAGAGTTGTCCACTGTCTAAAAATCCATCATAAAAAACCGAGATTTCTTAAACAGAATCACAATCCTTAGCTTAAAATCATAAATGCTGATACTCTCCGATGTCATAGATCGGCATCGATCCCATCACGTTGCTCCGATCCCACAGATGGGAGTAAGCCGCGGTCAGCGAACTGGACGCCAGCTGGCCCAGTGCCTTGTTGTTGCTGGTCGGGATATTCATCAGATTGCTGTTCCTCGTCGACAGTGGCTGTGGCTGGTGATCGACCCCAAGTCCAGCTAATCCTACTCCACCGCCACCACCTCCAGGTGGACCTCCCGGTCCGGAGTGGGGTCCACCACTTCCGGACATTCCACCACCAAGGCCCGGACCCAGATGAAGACTTTGTGCTGCACTTCCTCCCAGTGACTGTTGCGGGCCACTATGCGACCCGGGCATACCCAAACTGGGTCCATCCATGTCCGAATCGCTAGAAGAGTCCAGGTGCTGTTTGTCCGATTCACCGGTGCTGAAAGTAAGAAAATAGGAAGGTTTGTCGGGTTAGATACAGGATTCAAATAATGATGAATGTTCACGGCGAATGAGAACGACTCAAATTTGAGTTTAGTTCACTCATAATCGCCAAAAGTGCAGGAACTCAGCGATGAGTAAAATTTGTCCCATGGTTTCCTGTGGAAAACCTAAAAAATCTGCCGGAAAATGAGGAAATTGACGAAAATTTTATTCAGTCTCGGAGTATTACCAAAAGACTGAGTGAATCCAATCTTTACTTTTCTCAAACTCGGGAATTTTTCCCTGGAAAATCCTGGGAAAACATGAGGCAAATTAACTCATCGCTGAGTTCCTGCAATTTTGGCGATTATGAGTGAACTAAACTCAAATTTGAGTCGTTCTCATTCGCCGTGTTATCAAGGAAAATCGTGCTTTTCGCATAAGTTAGTGCTAACTTATAAGAAATGTAATCTACCCTCAGTTTTCCTATTGAAATAGTCGTTGGGAGAATTTTTGAGAACCTTACACACACGGCGAATGAGAACGACTCAAATTTGAACTTAACTCGCTTAACTCAGTCTCGGAGTAGTACCAATAGACTGAGTGAATCCAATCTTTACTTTTCTCAAATTCGGGAATTTTTCCCTGGAAAATCCTGGAAAAAGCTGGGAAAACATGAGACAAATTTTACCCATCGCTGAGTTCCTGCACTTTTGGCGATTATGAGTGAACTAAAGTCAAATTTGGGTCGTTCTCATTCGCCGTGCACTTAATTTTTATTGCCGAGATTGGCATCGCCGACCAGCTCGGCGTTTTATTTAGCGGATCTCAGTGAAAAACCTAAGAGGAAGAGGTGACAATTGGCTTCTTCCTCTTTTATTTCTATCTCTATCTCTTTCTTTATCTATCTCTATCTTTATCTCTCTCTATCTTACGCACATGAAATCGGCCAATCAGGAGCTGGTTCACGTTTGACAGAAAAGTGGTTCATTTTCGCCCTCGTATTGTCACCTCTTCTCTTAGGCTGCGTTCCATTTGGTGAATTTTCACTTAAATTTGACAGTTCGAAAATAAATTAAGATGTTAGAAAATCCCTCTGTTGATGATCTTCCTATTTTCGACAAGGTGTTTGTCAAAATTGATTCCTGGTCTGTCAGAAATAAGTCTGGTACAATAGCAGGTTTATTTGAAAATTTTCCATCTGTCAAATTTAAGTGAAAATTCACCAAATGGAACACAGCCTTAGGTTCTAAACCATTTGGTGGATTTTTTTAACTTTTGGTTAAAATTTGACAGATGGAAAGTTATCGATTAACCCTGTTATCCGAGCGTGGTTATTTCTGACCGACAAGAAGTTAAATGTTGACATTTGTGGCTGAGTTCTGCTCGAAAACCGATCGATCGTTAACACAGGGATTTTCGAACATAAGAAATAACTTTCAAAATGTCACTTTTAACCACGAGTTAAATTTAACTTGGCAAATGGTTTACAGCCTTAGTGAAAAACATGCCGAGATTCCGCTAACGCAGCTAACAAACTAGTATTTTGCTGATATCTCAGTAATAATCACACCGGGAGCTATTTGACAGCTCCAGTGTAATGTCAATCAGCGTTGTCAGATATACCGATTTATCGGTATTTATAACGATTTCCGAACTAGACACCGATATACAGATAAGGTTCATCAGAATACCGATTTTTGATGTTTTATACCGATTTTTTTTTAATAATTGTATCTTTTATAATGGGGGAATTTACGTATTCTCGGCAACCTAAGCAGCGACCTTCTTTCTATAGCCTTTTTCTCTAAGGAACGCGCACATATGCAGTATTGGTTTGTTTACAATTTTTTGCTGCCAGCTGCTCTAACAATTTCAGTCGAAGGAATTGTCAAAAACTGTTTTGAAACGCTTTTACAAAGCTCCAATCTTCTCTAGTGAGAGCGAGTATTGTCGGCAACCAGTTTTTCTTCGGCAACCGTTCCATTTGAACTGCATATAAATCTGATGTTCTATTATCGGCAACTCGAAATCAGCTACAATTTGTAGTGCGTGTGTTTCATTTCAAGAAAACCCTGCTAGATTGCTTTTTCTCAGTGGTAAAAATATAGTCAAATTGAAGCTGAAAGCATAAAGAATCGTTTGCATGCATTCAGCGAAGTGTTTTCGTAAGAAAATCCAGTGAAAATAGTGTTTCAATAGTCTGTCATGCCGAAGCCGTCATTTTCCCTATCTCAAATTTTTTGAGCCCTTAAAATTCTAAAAAAAATCATCTTTAAAAATGTCTCATGGATACTCTTTTGATTATTGTTTCAATTTCCTCGCCGTTTTGGCTCTTCAGTCAGTCGATGCACTATGGGCAAAAATGGGTCCAAAATTACCCAAAATTCAATATCTCAACAGCACGCTGAATTCCGGCCATGAAAAACAACTTTTCCGAAGGGAAATTGTCCGGGGAATCGATTGCTTGTGGCCCCATAGACCGGAGAGCCTTGTAGGTATGTGTTTTGGACCATTTTACCCCATTTTCACCTACTTTTTGGAGGAAATGTTTTTTCACAGCTCTATTTTTCGTAAAACATAAGCACTTTATGCATGGTTTTAGAATACTATGTCTTTAAACAACAGTTCATGAGATATTAGGGGAATACGGGGTACACTGTATAGAGGAGTAAGGGGTCAATGTGAAAATACAATCAATGTTATACTTCACAAGTCCAAAGAACTTCTGGAAATTTTAATGGTTTTCAGGACAGTTTAGTTTTAGGTGAATTGAGAGAACTTTAAGAAGCTCCGAGAACATCAGGACAGATTAATAAATTTCAAGTAAATCGTTGAAGTTTTAGGAGTTCCGAGAAACTCAGGCAATTTCCGAAAACTTCAGCAATGTCCCAATGCCCCTCGTGCAAATTTAAGAAACGTAAGGGAAGTTACACGAACATTAGCATTTTATGGGAAGTTCCGTGCGTATTAATGGCAGTGTCGATAACTTTAAAAAATTAGACAAATCGGAAAGATCAGAGAACTTCATTGCTGATGTTAAAATAAATTCAAGAAAATTGTGAGACCGCTTAAGAAATTTCGTAATCTTTAAAAAAGTCTACAGACCTTCAAAGTTGATTAGAGATATTCCGGTAGTCTCTTTATAATCAGGGAAGTTCCAAGTATTTCAAAAATGATTACAGTACTCCAAAACAGCCCTATTAACTTAAGGAAAATTACAAGAACTTTTACAAGGAATTCTGAGGAAATATGGAATATTCCATTTGGAAAATTTTCTGGATCATTAGAACATCCCCCAAGAGCTCTTTCTTCCGGAATTATGTCCTTGTTTCTTTCGACTGTTCCGTTAGCGCTCTGGCTTCCGACTTCCTCCAGATTTTTTCCATCTACCTTAGGAAGTTTCTGCCAGTGTATCCAGGATGTTTCTTCCGTCTTCTCTAGGAAGTTCAATTGAACTTTCCCAGAAATTTCTTTCGTCTAGGTCTGGAATTTTGCCCAGTTGTTTTTTTTTTTTTTTTACTTCTATTGGAAGGTTTTTCCGAACTTCTTCTGGCTTCCCCTGGAAATGGCTACTTCTGGAATTTACTTCCTATTTCCGAAACTTTTCTGCCTTCCTTTAAATGTGAAAACCGATTTTTTGTTTCTGATTTTTTTTTTCTTCCTTTATTTAGGAGATTTTTAGCCGTAGGCTAGTTCATCTCCGAAGTTTCTTTAAATTTTCGTCAGAAGTTTATCAATTTATGTCTTGGAAGTTCCGCGGATGTTTTTCCGCCTTCTCTCAGAACTTTCCTCAAATTTCCTCCAGGAGAGCTACTTTCTTCTTTCTCTGGATGTTGTTTTCAGCTTCCTCCAGAAGCTAATTTAAACATTCCCCGGAGTTTTCTTCCGGAATTTTCCGATCATAGTCCAAAAGTTAAAACTATCGCTTTCAGAAACGGCAAAAATATAAAATTAATTAAAATAGTAAATACCGATAAATACCGATGTAAGCTTTAAAACATTCTAGCAACGCTGATGTCAATGTACCCCGAAAATTCTGGTACTCTGGTTCTGTCAAATCGAATAATGGTGGAGTAAATTTAAGCTCTGAACCATTTGGTGTTTTATTTTTAACTTTTGGTTAAAATTTGACAGATGGAAAGTTATCGATTAACCCTGCTATCCGAGCGTGATTGTTTCTGACAGTGTAGCGATGTCATTTTTTCATGTATTTCATCCAAATTTCCCATACAAAATTCAAACTAAAAGCACCAGCTCATCTTACAACCAAATGAGCTGAAACTTTCAGAGAAAGGTTTTCTCGCCTAAAAGCACAAATCTAGAGGTTGGCCCGTGGAAAATTAGAACTTTATTTTTGTGGGCCAGTCTATTGTGCAGCGAGGGAAAAAAAAATCAGCGTATCCATAAAAGCGTAAAAGCGTAGCATAAAAGCGCGCATGGTCCTCGCGACAGCAGTTGAACCGATCTGTCAGATGCTGACTCAGTGACCGCTGGGTATTCGTCAAAGAAACTATCAGATCCCGGTGCGATACCTTTCGGTGGTGACAATTCACCACCATCCATTCAGTCTGCAGTTCGTAGCGAGGGTGAAACCAGTCAGGAAGTGCAAACCACCGCTGAGGTAGTGTAATTTGTTTTAGATGACATTATTAGCATAGAGGTAACTCTAACGTTCCCCAAGAAACGTGCTCAATTTTTTGGCTCAGCTCTGGTACTCTCCGGTCCCAAGCTAATCGAAACATAGGAAAATCGGTTCGTTGATCTCATTTTATCTGTCAAACTTTCATAGCAAATCAAAACAAACAGTGTAGTACTAGAATTTCGGCTAGAATGGGGTACGTTAATCGTTTGCTTGGGACCAATAGGCTAGTCAAGTAGCGAGCCAATTTAAAATCGTTGGTTTCTACCGGTTGATAATATGATGTATGTAATATGTGTTGAATGGGAAGTTGGTAGTCAATCTAAACATTATCTTGCATACGAAGCCATTTCAAAAACCGAAACCTACACCCA